GCCCGGCGCGAGACGCGGGCTGGGGCTGAGGGCAAGGGGGCAGAAGGAGGGTTGGTGCGGCCTTACTGTGAGATTGCTCTGCGCCTGAGGGAGGTTTTGTTGCGTTGCAGAAAACCCACGTGAGTTCCTGATCCAGGCCCTGGAAAGGGTGAAAGCCGGGAAGCGGTCTGAGGGGGAGTACCCCTACCTCATGGACGAGGGCAATCTGGCCGCCATGTTCGGCCTGCTGGATGTGGTGGGCCGAGGGCACATAACGGCAGGGGAGGATAACGTCAGCGCAGTACAGAGAAGGTGCGTCTCACCTGCGCGGAGGCTCACGCTGGAGTGGTTGCATTTGCACAGAATTAGTAAAATAGTTTCAAAAACGCACGTTATATATACTTTAAAAGTACGCAAACACCTACCCATACACAACTCGTAGCTTAAAAAGTTTGAAAAGCTACATGTTTTTTTTTAAGTTGCCTTTTATGTTTACATTTTAGTATACCTAGGCCACTTTAAGATGTTAAATTAATCTTTCAAAGACTTGCACTGGAAACTCTCTTTCTGTAACTTCAGCTCTTAAAACTTTGGGACTGAGCACTGAAGACCTGCAGCTTGGCGATGATGTGAATATCACTTTGGACATATTCAAGGAAGAAGTGTAAGTTTAATTGAAAGGGGTTTATTTGGATGGAGGGACATGCACAGGGGATATTTCACTGAGATTTTTTTTTATTTACAAAACTACATAATTAAAGGATTTGCTGGTTTAAATTTAACCCCTTTACTTTGTATTGCAAGATTGAAAAGGGTCAGTTACTGCCTGACCTTGCGTGGCTTGCTCTACCTGAGCCAACTTGTCATTTTCCTCCACCAGTCGGTTCCAGGATCCTCTCAAAGCAGACCTCACATCACCTACCTCTCAGGTCAGACAGAAGGTTCAAATACTGATCTAGACATGTGAAACAGCATTGGCTTCTTTGCCAGAGAAGACATCATACAGCTGTAGATGAAACAAGCTCAGAGTTAATAATGATTTCTTGCAGTTGAAGTATGGTTTTGTGGTAGTGCGGCAATCACCGAAAGGTAACTGGAAAAAATTATCCTTATTGTTATCTAAATGGAATTCTTTTTTTTTTTCTGTCTTAGGAAGAAAAAGATGCTGGAGAGCTGGGCCATATATTAGTTTGAGCAATGGTCTGCTGTATGTATAAAAAGTAGACATCTTCCCCAATTCTTGTTCTGTTTTGGTAGCTGTGAATAGCTGATTTTAAGCAATGCTCTCTTTTTTCTCTTCCCACCCTTGCTGAAGAGGACAAATGACAAGAATGCATTTGTATTTACCAGGCAGTGCAGGGGGATCTTTCAAGAATCGTGTAATAGAATGAGATCTCTTTTACATAACTGAAAGAGTGCTTTGGAGATTCCACCTTGAGTTTGTAGCTTGCAATAAGGGTTTTTATCTTGTTGGCTCATTACCACTGAATAAAATTAAGAGTTGAACTGTTTGGTAAGCTGGGTTTGGTTGTCTTATTTTAAAAGAAAGACCAACTGCAGCAAGCGATGACAAATGTCCACAGTTGAAGAGAGGCGCCACTTCCAAATACAGTACTATTTCCGAACTTACAACACACTATTTATGAAATCTTTAAGAAGAAAATTTTTTTAAAAAAAAAATTAGAAGACTGGTACAGCAAAGAAAAAAAGAATTGAATGAGCATGAATAAAGAAAGTGACATATGCCTTTCATTCCTTCCTTGTTCTGTTCACAGAGTTTTTAATACAGAAAATCCATTACCTGGCATGTAGAGGTATAAAACTGGTGGACTGGGCAGTGTGAAAGAGTTGGTCATATTGCACACAGCTGTATTTACACTGTAAATGCTCCATATTCCTTAGAGTGATGTTGCAGCACACACCAGTGACAAGGCAGACACGTTAATTAGAGATTAGGAGTTTTAGCTCCCCAGTGTAGGGGCAAGGTGGCTAAGGAAAATGAGATCCATGGTTAGACACCAAGCCAGTAGCATTTTAAATTTTTATTTTTTTAAACTGTATACAGTAAGGCAGAAGATTAGATTAAACCAGTCATCCAGCATTCAGTATTGAAAAACATAATCCAAGTATATTACAACATATTTGCTTTGCTTTTTTTTGAAATAAGTAATCTAGACCAAGTTATTAACCATTTTTGTGAGAAGTCTTTATTTTCCTGTATTTGGCCAACTAGCTCTCAAATTGAGAAGAATCTCAACATCCTTTTGAGCTAATTTATAAACTCCAAGTTCATTTAGTGCTGCTGTTGCAGAGGGCTGGTTCGGCTTTAACGTCGTTTCACTTTCTGAAGCTGACTGCAGTACATCCTTCAGAAGCAAGGCAGAGCCAATATTCAGGTTTAGGATAATACAGGCTTCTTTTATGCTAGAGGAAAAAGTTGTACGGATTAATATGAGAAGCGCCCATGAGGTACACTAATTTTGTGCATGTGGTGATTAATAAAAAGACCTCCATAGATTTCTGAAAAGGAACTGAAATATTGAACTGAAAAGTGCTGCTCAGATCAAGGCAAACAGTATATTTGTTCCATTTTGCGTGGTTCCATAAGCTTCAGTATTTTGCTTCTCAGTGCTCGGCACAGCTTTTGCTTCTAAAGTTTTTCCATCAGTATTAAAAATACAGAATAGAATTTACCACTTAATCTGTGTAGCTTTTCCTAAATAAATTCTCCCCTAAGATAATTAGAAACTTCTCATTCACTGTATTTTATGAGCACAGTTTAATTGGTAGTTGCTAGAACGTGAACATTTTCTCTAATTAGTATCATGGGAGAACAGGTACCCTGTCTTTGTCATGTTGTTTCTAATCTAAATACAACAGATAGCCATTATGCATTATTTTTTACAGTTCCTTTGTGAAACGTGTATGAATTACATTTATGTAGGTAACGTGTTCAAAAAAACCCTTAAAACTGCAGATGCTACGTGAATATTCCAATTTAAAAATGCCAATATATAATCTTTGTCTTCAAGACTGAACACCATGCTCCATACTGATTTTAAAACATCAAGATTTCTGTCCCAATTAGTCTAGGACTGTAGTGCTGGACTCTTTAGAAGACTGTGGGCTCTTTTTAAAAGTCTAACCTCAAAGAAGGCAGCTTCTCCTCATCCATGAAAGCAACCAGACTGCAATACAAGGCAATTCTGAGCAGGGAACATAGTTTAGTCTTTCTTCTAAAAAGTTTATTGTGCTTTAACAATGTATCTTTGGAGTATTTTCTTCGGCCCCAGTTACCAAGTCTGTGCTCCTTACAGTCCTTCCATAAATTATCTAGAAATCGAGACTGCACAAAATACCCCAGAAAACACGCCCCAGTCTGTCACTATCTGAGTATGCACTGCAGAATCAAAACTTTTCTAGTTGTAAACACTGGAAGCATAAATAAACTGTGTATTTTAAGTCTGGATCAAAACCAACCATGAAAAAAATCTTTGTGATACATAACACACAAGTATTCATCTGGCCATTCACTTTTAAAATGCCAACAGATCAGAACTTTGCCTACTTACTGCTTGAAGTAGTTTTCTGGCCTCTTGCAGTAGTGTGAGAATAAAGGGAACAGATTTCTACTCATGTCAAACTGGAGTTGTGCTGCTCCTCCTTCATTGAAATGATTTGCCATAATTATCTGCAAGCACAAAGAGGTGCATCCACTGTTTAACACAGTCACTGTGTTGTGAAACTACCGTATCGCACAGGTCACGCTTTGCCGATACCTACTTCCTGATAGATGTACGTATCCACTTTCTCCGCAAGCATTTGCCAGAAGATTTTGAACAGCGAGTGACAGAGCTGCTGTTCTAGTTGGAGCAAGCGGTCTCGTAGGGTCAACAACATCGGGCAAGCCGTGCTCGATAAAGACATTACTGCTTGCTCTGCCTGAGATGGTAAAGATAACCACCTGCAAGAAGTTACGGCACTGAAGTCATTATAATGAAATTATTCATATTGTAACAACTCAAGCTAAAATTATCTTTTTTTTAAAACTCACACCCATTTACAATGGTTCACAGAGACTTCTTTCCCATTTCTAATCTAAAAGTAATCACAGCCTAATGCTGTGTTTGAATTTCATTTAATATTAAACTCGTGCTTTGGTTATAAATCTCTGAACATGCCATTCACAGAAACTCCATCTAATCTAGAAAATCACGGAGCTGTTGTAGTTCTTCTGTGATGTACTTCAGAAATTCTACTCAGGAGCAAACACTCAGGAAGCCCTACGAGTCTGTGAAGACAGAGCAGTCCCAACAGGCTATTTCATATTTACTATTTAATGCTCCTATGAAGAAAATAATTCTTATCCAAACTAGAGCAATCCAGAACTTTTCCTAGGATTTTTAACACAACATGCCCACTAATTGTGGAACTACTTTAGAAAACATAGCATTAAAATAGTCTTGAAAGAAGTGTTAAGAGAATTTTCCAAAACTTACTACCTTGTGCCATTCCTATTCAGGAAAACAATTCTGCCTGTTAGCTCTTCCTGCCTTGATTTACCTCAGTATTTTTCACAGGAAGGGAAGCAAGTAAGCAGACAGAATCACCTCTCTTTTTTGTACAGTTTTGCAGCATCTTTGACTTCTCTGAAGACGTGCTCTACCTGACGAGTCAGCATGTCATGTTTTAGGCGTTCAAGAAGGTTAATCATTTCATCAAAGACGGAACTCTCCATGGAAGCCAGCTGCCCCAGCTGGAGTTGACTGACAGTGCTGCTTTCTGCATGAACCTCCAGTTCTGCCTGCTGTAGCTGCAAGAAGAACTACAGACACAAAACCAGGTATGAATGCTACCAGAAAAACAATATTTTTGAACTTTTTTGATGGTACTTTAATAGGCACGGTTCTCGAAAACACTCTCCCAACACATTTATAAGCTTAAAAGATTTTAAAACCACCTTCTTATCTTTCCCCGTGGTCCTGATTTACTGAAAAATGAAACATGGTGGTTTAATACCAGTGGCGGAACCAATATGGGTTTCAGATACAATAGCAGACAAGCAATGGGAACAGATCTAGAGAAATACTAAAGAGATATTTTAAGATTGACAGCAGAATGCTTTAAAAAACAAAACAAACAAAAAACCTGCGTTTCACCTTTTTATGTTTGTAAAAAGTAAACTAGAACCTTTAAACTGTAATTCATTTTAGAAGCAAGAAAATGTATTGAGCGTAACGTGACATAGTGGTAACTACTTGTTGGTTTTGGTTTTAAGCAGATCAAGACTCCTAAGTAGGTGCAGCTGTACACCACAAAGGCTGCCATCCTATCCAGTCCTGGATACCCTCTGCTAGAGCCACAGTTCCCTGAGAGGACAAAAAGAATTTGAAGGCTGTACATCTTGCACACAACACCCGTTTCTACACCCTTTATATGTGCAAAAGTTAAAAAATCCTGTTACCAACGAAAAGCCGAAATGCTACAGAATAATCATTGTTATGAAGCAAACATCCAAAGTCCTTTTTTTTAAAAAAAAAAAAAGTAAGTAAAATAATTGCTTACTACGTTGTCAGCCCAGTCCGCCAGCACTGTTGCTATGTAGTTCACAGCATTAAGGATTGCACAGTATCGGAAGCCTAAGGAAGCTCTAGTCTCTTCCTTCATTACTTGAGTTAATCGTATTCTGAAATCATCAACTAACTCCTTCTGCAGGCCTAGGAACTGTAGTTTTCTGGAAGCTGTTGGGAGGTTCTTATACCTGTCTGCAAAGACATGGATAAAATGTTTTTAGGTTTTCCAACACCAAATAAAAGCTTTTCAGAAAGAAGCATTACAGTCATCTTGCTATACAACCTTACGCCTACGAGATCATCTAGTATTTAAAACAGCTGGCATATTTTAATGATTTCAGGGAACTACTCACTGCAAAAGCTAAATGTGTAAAGAAACAACATTCTTCCCCCC